CGAAATAAATATAATATATTTGACCTGTATTTCCATCAACACCATTATTTTGTCCCGTTTTGTATTTGTCATGTCTAAGGTATATATGTGGTGAATTTGACAGAAAACTGTTTGTAAAAAAATGATAGGGCCATAAAAAGGGAGGCAGGAATGAAAATTGTTCAAAATAAGTTGTAATGGGGAAAAAGGGACCAGAAAGTGTCCGAAACGTTTGGATGCAATAGCATCAGATACGACGTGCACGTGATGGCATAAATTCTGTTGTATGAAGTGTTTTCAAATGATTTATAACTGTTTTCCTTGAGCTCAAAGTGGAAATCCATTTAATTTTTGGTTATTTTAGGAACTAGTTTGAGAAGACTAGGTTTTTCCATACGTACGACATGAGTATGTTACATAGATATGTAACAACATAAAACATTTTGTCGAAAAACCGAATCCTTGGAAAAATCAGCCCTGACACCCCATGGGTGTCAGGCGGCCACAGGGAGCAAATTGGGCCTGACACCCCATGGGTGTCAGGCGGTCCGGAAAGGGTTAAGGAACCTGGATGTACAGTGATAAAACTTCAGCTCTGTGTAATTTTCAGCAGTTCTAAAGCTGGGAGTCCTGACGATTACTTGGCTGCGGTAAAGCTTGCTAAAGAGCGTGTTATAAAGATCACAGAGAAGTTACGCGAGAAGCTCTAAAAAGTGAGCAACGTTATTGGATCGTATGCTATCCTCCCCGAAGGGGTTGGGGGACGAAAAGTCCTTTAAATTTTCTCTGTCTTCCCATCTGGGATTGCCCTGATAAAGGGAATGTATGTATGTAGGTAAAGTAAACATGCACTGAAAATGAAGAAACTATATCGTTCAAAACAAATAAATTTAAAGGAAACTTTGGATCACTTAGCTTCGGGGAAGCATAGCATACGGACCATTATCTCTACGATAGTCGAGTTGCAGAGCTCATTGAATGGTTGCGTGAAGATTACTGCTGTATTTGAGTGGGTAGCACAGTCTTTTCGTCCTAGTGGAAGCTATCTGTCAATTTTTGCTAATTTGTTGAGGAGACCCATGTCATGTGATGGTGTTTCACCCTTTCTAATCATTCGATGACAATTCTGTGAAATTTGAAGAAAAACAGGGTGACAGGAGGGGGAGAGGGTGACGAATAAAATCAAGAAATAATGTCTTTCACTGTGCATTCTTTTTTATTTACAGGATCAGAAAATGTCAAATGATCGAGAGAAGGCTGAACGATTAGCTGCAGCGATGGCTAACGACATTTCGACAACTGCCATGCCAACTATTGAAGACGCTTTCACAAAGCTTATGGTAAGAAGACTTTTCATTGAAAAAAACGAGGGCATTCATAACTGAAAAAATAACCCGAAGTTTGTATGAATAATTCTTGGATGCTGCGCAATACCAAGGAAATCTAATGTGTTTTGAAGGATTCTACACCAGAGATGTTCAACGATACAACGCTCGCACCAGCTGCATTGGATGAGATAACACGTCCCAAGCGTGAAGTTCACGAGCAGAATTCTATTTTAGGTATGAATCGAGCTGCTCCACTTAGGCATATTTTTATATTCATTAATTCTATTCGCCGTGCTAGTGTAATGTCAGATGTCTCCAATCTATTCATTTCATTTATTGAAGTCTTGGGAACGGTTTGGGGGTCACGTCTCAAGCATCTTCTTTTTTCTTCCTGAAATCTTTTTGTCTCCTTCAATCGTGGAGAAAGTATTGAGTTTTGATTTGGTTCAGGTTTCATTGCGGTTCTGGTAGCATGCTGCCTTTCTGGATTCGCTGGCATCTATTTTGAGAAGATTCTGAAAGGATCAGATGTGTCTATATGGATTCGAAACATTCAACTAGCACTTCCGTCCATATTCTTCGCTTTGCTGTTTGCTTTTGTAAGTTTTTTGTTTACTTACTCATAGGTCTGTATCCATTTTGGCCAAGTTTGAGGCGAAAGCTGCTGCTCGCGCGCTGTCGCGGTACGGCGTAAGGCTGTACAGTCGAATCGAACTTTGCGCCAGCGAATCGACTGATGCACCAGCGAGTCGTATACCAGCGACTCAACACTGTTTGAAAGTGGCGGGACCCAACGTTTAAAGGAAGTCCCGCCACTTTCAAACAGTGTTGAGTCGCTGGTACATAGTTCGACTCGCTGGTACATCGTTCGACTCGCTGGCGCAAAGTTCGATTCGCTGGTGCAACGTTCGATTCGCTGGCGCAACGCTCGGATCCAGCGATTCGCTAGCGAATCGCTCGATTCGCAAACTATGACATCGGCCTATCGACTAACGTGGTGACGTAATGGTGCGTCGACTCAGTTCACTTAGATGTCGATCAGACTCTGCGATGCATCGCGCGATGCAGTCGCTCTGCCTAGAGCGATTGGCATCGCTCCAAAGTGCGAGCGACGTGTGCATCGGTCGTCGGCGGGGATCTCCCGTCGCTCGCACTTTGGAGCGATGCCAATCGCTCTAGGCAGAGCGACTGCATCG